CCAAAAATATGGGTGCTCATTATACACGGCAAAATATGGTCATTGTTCCCCTTCCCTTTCTCATAAATACTCCTCGCCTTCGTCTCCTCCTCCTCCGAACGCTATCTGGGCTTCTGCCTGAATCAAAGCTGCCCTGGTAGCTCTTCTTTCTGATCTCAGTGATCGCCTGTTGCCTCTCACTTTGGCCTTTTATTTTTAGGTTAAGTGTTTTCATATTAAAAGAATGTTTGTAATATCTCTTTCCCTTATTTTTTTCTCTTTTTTTTCCTGAACTAAGTGTGTGTAAATTTTTCTTCTGTAATAAAAAAAAATGTTAACTTAGTTTTGGAGGGAATAAAACTTCATTTCCTCTCGTAGAATTAACCTTTTTATCTTCCTTTGCCTCTGAAGCTCTGTTACCCCTGTTCCACTTGGGTGTCCCCCCTAACCCTTACCCCGACCTTTTACTGCTCCAGGACGCAGGCCATGCCTACTCATCTCCGGGTCCCCTGTGCCTAACACAGCGCTAGAAGCCGTCCACAAAAGCTGAACAGAGGAAGGAAAGAAGGAATGATCAACATCAGGCCCTGCCACTTGGAGGATGCTTTCATGATGAAAAGCTGAGTTGTGGAAGAACAATTTCTCCTGTTTACAGGGGAGGAAGATCTGCCAGATAAATAGACTACGGCAAGAGGCGAGGCCAGATGGGCTGACGCGGCGAGGGAATTCATTTCCCCCCGGATATTAAAGATGTTATCTGGCGGGCGGGCGAGAGGCTGCCAGGGGAGTCAGCGGTGGGGTGGGTGATCCTGGATGAAGCTCTCTATCTTCAGCTGCATCTGCAGACCAGCTTGCAAACGTAATCAAGCCAAGCCGTGGCAGCCTGAGAGAAGCAGCGCCCTTCCGTCGCCTCCCCACTTCTCCACAGCGCAGCCTGAGAGAGGAACGCAGAGCAGACCCCCAACTCCCGTTCTGCTCTCTGACCGGAACACGACACCCTCATCTGCCTGGCTCTTCCAAGTGAGGTGACGTGATCAAATGCCTTGGGACAGCAATTTTCAACCGTTGTGGCGGAAGAATTTTTAAAACATGCAGTATCTGACTATTCAGTCAGGGGCCCTGACCTCTTTCCCTTAGATTGCCAAATAGAAAAAATGACAACAGGTCTGAATAAAAGAAGGTGACAAGATTGGCCAAAGAACATATGTGAACACGCAGACAGTGCTGTGGTGAAGGCCGGGGGAGGGAGGCAAAGGGTGGGAAAACGGGGACATCTATAAGAGTGTCAACGTTAAATAATAGTAATAAAAAATTAAAGATGACAACAGCCAACACAATAGCCACCTGGTTATTATAACTATATTATAAAATACTATAGTTACTATAACTATAACTAAAAAGAAATTATAACTATTTTTTGTCAGATTAGCAAAAAATATGTTTTTTAGTGTCCCACAGAATTTTAGTGATTGGTTTACGCGTGCGGCAAGATGGAAAAGGTTGAAATGCGCTGCCTTAGGGTTAGACACGGTCCGGCCACCAGTCCAAGGCAGCGATTTTCAACCTTTTCCATCTCATGACACGTATAAAGTAGTTATTAAAATTCTGCAGCACACAAAAACACATGTTTTGCCAATCTGACAAATAAAAGGTATAATTTTGATTGATTTACAAAAATAATGTGAATAGTAGTTACCTACTCTTTTTGCTCCAAAGTGAGTTTTTAAAATATCAGGTGCCTATACTTGTGTGTAAGGATTTCTAGTCCCAAGAATTAACCAACAGGCACAACCTTATGTGCATGACCAATAAAGTGCAACTCGATTATAGGACCTGTATATTTATGGCCAAGACAGGGCATGCGTACCAGACGGCTATGGTTGTGCTGGCTGTTGTCATTTTTAAATCTGACAGTCTCAGGCAAAAGAGGTCAGCACCCCTGACTAAATAGTCAGGTATTACATGTTTCAAAAATTCTTGAGGCACACTGGTTAAAAATTGCTGCTCTATGGAACTTGACACTTTAAAAAATGTTATTTTTAAATTGTTCTTATAAATTATTTAATAGCTACAAAAGAATATTTATAATACATGTCTTTCCCCATCCCATCCCTTTCCTTGCTCTCCAAGATAACATCTACACTGAATTTACATTTATCATTCCCTTAATTTTCAATCCACTGAGCCATACCAGCCAGGGCCTTATTCCCTTAATTTTCTTTATAATTTAGCCACCTCTGGTTGGTTGGTTGGTTTGGGAGAGGAAAAGGGAGGGAGAAAGAGGGGGAGAGAAACATTGATCAACCCTGATCAGGAATCAAACAGGCAACCTTCCTTTCACTTTGCTGGAGGACACCCCACCAACTGAGCCACACCGGTCAGGGTGCTGTTATAAATATTCTTGTACCCAGTGAGTTTTCCTGAGGTTTATGTAGGAGAGGATGGGCTGGTTCACAGGGAATGCATGTCTTCAGCTTTACCAAATCATGCCAAATTGTTTTCCCAAGGTGCAAGGTAATTGCATCAACCATAATTTGCATTCCCAACAGTAGTGTTTCAGTTGTTAGATATATTCGCCAATTATCTTCACCAATACTTGATGTTTACTTTTTTTTGCAAGTCATTAAAACAGTATCTCACTATGGTTAAAAAAGTAGCTTAGTTTTCACTTCTGGGATTTCTAATGATCTTGAACATCATGCTATATGTTTATTGGCCATTTTCATTCCCTCTTTTGAAAAGTGCCTATTCTAGTCATTTGCCCATGTTTCTTCTATTGATTTATTTTTTTCTCATTGATTTGTAGTTCTTCATATGCTCTGGGCATTCATCCTTTGTCAGTTTAACAAATCCTTTGTTACTTCCGGCCAAGATGGAGGTGTAGGTAGATACCCTGTGCCTCCTCGCACAACCAAAAGAAGGACAACAACAATTTAAAAACAAAAAACAACCAGAACTGACAGAAAATCGAACTGTATGGAAGTCTCAAAACCAAGGAGTTAAAGAAGAAATAATTCATCCAGACCAGTAGGAGGGGTGGAGATGGGCAGTGGGGTGGAGAGGACTTGTGACAAGGCAGCAGCTGGCGGACTGGATAGTCCCACATTAGCAGGCAGATAAACCAGGAGGAACAACTGGGGTATGAGACAGACCGCACAACCCAGGGTCCCAGCTTGGAGAAATAAAGCCTCAGAGCCTCTGATTGAAAACACTGGTGGGGGTTGAGGAAGCAGCAAGAGAAACTCCCAGCCTTACAGGAGAATTTGTTGAAGAGACCCATAGGGTCCTAGAACATACACAAGCCCACCCACCCAGGAATCAGCACCAGAAAGGCCCAATTTGCTTATGGGAAGTAGGGGAAGTGACTGAAATCCAGCAGAGAGCAGAGGAAGCGCCATTGTTCCCTCTCGGACCCCTGTCCCATATATAGTGTCACAACACAGTGACGTGGGTTGCCCCACCCTGGTGAACACCTAAGGTTCCGTCCCTCACTATGTAACAGGCACCTCAAGACAAAAAAAAAAAAGGCACAAATGGAAGAATAGATCAAAGTTCCAGAAAAAATACAACTAAGCAACAAAGAGATAGCCAACCTATTAGATGCATAGTTCAAAACACTGATAATCAGGATGCTCACAGAATTGGTTGAATATGGTTGAAAATTAGAGAAAAAATGAAGGCTATACTAAGTGAAATAAAGAAAAATGCACAGGGAACCAACAGTGACGGGAAGGAAACCAGGACTCAAATCAATGGTGTGGACCAGAAGAAAGAAAGAAACAAAGAAACATTCAACCAGAAGAGAATGAAGAAACAAGAATTCAAAAAAAAAAACAAAAACAAAAACAAAAAACGAGAGGCTTAAGAACCTCCAGAACATCTTTAAACGTTCCCACATCTGAAACAGAGGGGTAGCAGAAGAAGAGGAAGAGCAACAAATTTTAACTTATTTGAACAAATAGTGAAGGAGAACTTCCCCAATATGACAAAGGAAATAGACTTCCAGGAAGTCCAGGAAGCTCAGAGAGTCCCAAGGAAGTCGGACTCAAGGAGGAACACACCAAGGCACATCATAATTACATTAGCCAAGATTAAAGATAAGGAGAGAATCCTAGAAGCAGCAAGAGAAAAGGAGACAGCTACCTACAAAGGAGTTCCCATCAGACTGTCAGCTGATTTCTCAAAAGAGACCTTGCAGGCAAGAAGGAGCTGGAAAGAAGTCTTCCAAGTCATGAAAGGCAAGGACCTACATCCAAGATTGCTCTACCCAGAAAAGCTAAGATTTAGAATGGACGGGCAGATAAAGTGCTTCTCAGATAAGGTCAAGTTAAAGGAGTTCATCACCAAGCCCTTATTATATGAAATGTTAAAGAGACTTATCTAAGAAAAAGAAGATAAAAAATATGAGCAGTAAAATGACAACAAACTCACAGTTAGTAACAACCACACCTAAAACAAAAACAAAAACAAACTAAGCAAACAACTAGAACAGGAACAGAACCACAGAAATGGAGGTCACATGGAGGGTTAGCAACAGGGGAGTGGGAGGAAGAGAGAGAGGGAAAAAGGTACAGAGAATAAGTAGCATAGATGGTAGGCACAAAATAGACAGGGGGAGGTTAAGAATAGTATAGGAAATGTAGAAGCCAAAGATCTTATATGTATGACCCATGGACATGAACTAAAGGGGGGGGGATGTGGGTGGGAGGAGGTGTGCAGGGCAGAGGGGAATAAAGGGGGGGGCGGACAACTATAATAGCATAATCAATAAAATATATTTAAAAAGACAAAGAACCCTTTGTTAATCATGAATACGTCTCTGTCTTCTCTTTCTAGCTAAATTGTTAAGCCTGGGGAGAGGGGTAGAGAGTACAGAAAATGAATTAGATCACAAAGGATCCCGTAGAAATACAACCTCCTGTCGCCCTTACAGCTCTCTTCACATCTGTCAAAGTGCTGGAGACAGAGCATAACCCGTAAGAGCCCTTCAGTGAAGTCAAGATTTTTCAATCGCGGGCTGGTAAGTTACAGTTTTAGTTTTGCTTTATTTTTTAAAAAACCAATCACGCCCTGGCAGAGTTGCTTAGTTGGCTGGAGCATCGTCCATACACCTGGTTAGGGCACATGCCTAGGTTGCGGGTTTAATTGCCGATCGGGCGTGTACAGGAGGCAACCACTAAAATCAATAAAAAAAATTATCATTGGGTGAGGATTTAAAAAAACAAAAAGGAACCAATAACAATAAGGCCAAGAATGTTGAGTTGTCGGATTTTGCTACAGCCAGATGAGGGCGTGGATGCACGGAGGTGAACTCGCTGCCCTCTCCTGGGTGACTAGTGCAGGAGAAGTTGTTTATTTTGCCCCATGTGTTGCCTTGTGATCTCCGCTTGTGCCACGTCTCTCCAGCTTCCAGGAAAACTCTCCAAAATGAGGGCCAAATTCTGTTGGTTCAAGTCCCTCCAGGCTTGGCACCCAGCCAATAGCTCAGTTCCTGTACAAGTTTACGGATCCGCCCCCCCCTCCCCCCCCCGCCAAATGCCAGGTCCCTCCGCCGTGCTAGGAATTACGCGCAGCGCTCGCCAGGTGGTACTTCAGCTGTAACCACAACCTCTTACCCCTGTCTTACTCGGCGGAAGGAGTCTCTGGAGAACGTGTCTTGAGGACGGGAAGTGGGATCCACTAAAACCTTTACAGGCGTCCCTGGGTGCTATGGGCTGGATCTTGGGAGGCTTCACGGGGACTGAGGTGAGGGAGGGCGTGAGGAGACCAATCGGACTTTAGAACCTGTTACTGAGTGTTGCAGTAAGAGGGTGCAAAGTCGACATCTGCGCTTGGTGCCTTGGCCCACGGGAGAAAGGGAGTCTGGCGGGTCACTCTGGCTTCCAGGTCCCGAGTACAGGAGCAGCCCCCCAAAACTCGCACCACCTGTGTGCCGGGCCCCGGGGCAGGGGCGGGCCCTGAATCCTGGGTGCCGGGGGCGCGTCACGGTCGCCCGCTCCTGATTGGACGCCGCTACGGTCCGACCAGGCGCACTGGGGGGTGGGCATCCCCAGAGGCCGGAACCGGAGTAACGGGACTCAGGGTGGTGGGAGCCCAAGGGTTGGCGTCGGTGTCAAGCCCAAAGCCCACGTTGGGAGCCTAGCCTTGACGCGCGCACCATGCCCTACGTGCTCATCAGCACCCAGATCCGCATGGTGAGTAGCCCCGCCTGACCAGTGGAGTTGGGGCCGGGCCTGGGCTTCCGGGGCTGCAGCCGCACGTTGGCGCCTCCCTCCCGGGCAGCGCGTCTGGGGTGGTCTGCGAAGCCGTCCGGGACACGCCCGCCCCACCCCCGGCCGTGGGCAGGAAGGCTGGGGATCAGACTCTGCCTGGCTCCTGGGAATCTGGCTCTCCCTCCGCCTTCGGGGCCGCGAAGGAGGCCAGGTTCATGCGTCCCTGCGAGCCAGCGAGCTCCGGGCGCTCGTGGCTGCTTTCCTACCTGTCCGCGGGAAACCCTGACCTCACACGTTCAACCCCCACTGCCCTACACAGAGCCTTCTTCGCGGGGGGGGCGGGACGGGAGGAGTGCAAAACCTCTGAGGGAACCCCTTTCCTGAGGGAAAGAGGTTTGAAAAAGAAAAGGACGTGCTAAGAGGCTAAAACACCCGTTCCAAGTTCCTGGCCCACCCACAGCCGCTAGCAGCACCCTTAAGCGCGTCCAGGGAGAGCTGTCCCTGGCGCCTTAGGAAAGGAAAAGAAAGACCTTCCTGCTCACGAAGAAAGGAAGGGGAGGCCGTTGCCCATGAGGTTAGAGGTGGGAAGAACACCTCAGGAGTCAAAAGTTGCTTCCCTTCTCTGGACGCAGTTTCCTGGTTGCCCCAAGGGTCCCTGTTTGGGTACAGAGTGATATGACTTGGTCCCCAGCTGGACAGCAGGTCGCTCCTCTGCCCCTTCTCACTCCCAGCGCCCGATTCATCGGAGGGTAAGCAGCCTCCTGGGGGTGAAGGAAAGGGCGGACTCACCGGACTCACCAGACTCACCACGTGACAGTAGTGGTCTGGGCCATGCCCTAGGGCAGTGGTTTGAGAACCAGTCCGGTGGACTCTTGGGCCCCTCCCCAAACACTGTACGCCTGGGGTGCGGGAATTCAGTGATCCTCGGGTGACTTTTAAAAAATATATCAGCTTTATTGCTATATAATACACATACCATAGAAGTCACCAATTTTACAACTCGATGGTTTTTGTGACTTTTTTAAGCATACTCAGAGTCTTGCAACCATCATCCTAATAAATTTTGGGACATTCCTATCACCTTAGCAGTTACTCTTCATTACCCCCGCCCCCCAGCCCCAGGTAACCACCCATCTACTTTCTGTCATAATATGTGGTCCTGTACCTGGTGTCTTTCATTTACATAAGGTTTTCAAGGTTCATCTGTACTGCAGGAGGTATCAATACTCATTTCTTTCTATTGCAAATAAGATTACATCATGTCTCTACTGCATTTTATTTATCCACTCAGCAGCTGAAAAACTTTTTGTTAATTATGAATAACGCAGTTACAAACATTATCATACAAGTTTTTGTGTGGACAGGCATTCTGTTCTCCAGCTGGTTCTGATAATACCAGTCAGGTGGTGGGTGGTGCCTGGCATGAAGGTGTCCAGGCACTACCCAGCTCAGCTTGGAGGGGCTAGAGAAGCCTCCCATTGCTTGTCTGGGTCATTGACCAGCCTCACCCTTTGCCAGCTTGTTCTCAGTCCTCAAGTTCCCTCACCAACCCCTCCAGACTTTACCTGAAGCTGACTCAGTGCCAGCAGGCAATGAAGGAAGGAGAGTCAAGACCTTCCACCTCTAACTGGCAGCCAGCCAAGCATCCACTGTTGCTTACCTTGCAGGAGGTGGGCCCCACCTTAGTGGGCGATGAACATTCAGATCCAGAGCTGATGCAGCATCTGGGGGCCTCAAGAAGGGCCGTCCTGGGAAACAACTTGTAAGTAGTGGCATTCCTAAATATCTTCTCACTGGCCCCCAGACCAGTCCCTGCTCCCTTCACATACCGCTGAACCCAGGGCAACGCCACCACCCACACTCAGAGCCCCTCTGCCTGCCTCCTGGGGCTCTGCACTCTTGCAGGGCTGTCTGGTCTTGGCCGGTCTCTAGCCTCACAGCCCCCCGCCCCCGCCCCAGGCTTGCTTTGAAGGCTTTCCCACCGGCCCTCCCTTCACAAGAGAGCCCAAGGGCAAAGTCCCAGGACAGAGTCTAGTTTCCTGGAGATAGATCAATGTAAGTGGACTGTTCCTTGCCCAGATCAACATAAGTGCACTGTTCCTTGCCCTACCACCCCCTTTCAAGCTGGACCTTATCAAGACAAAGACAGGCACAGAGAAAAGGTTTGTCTTGAAGAGCCACCTGATTAACAAAGCTAAGCCCTAGGAACAGAGCAGGCAGCTTGGGTCCTACTTCCAGCTCAACCAGGTGCCTGGGGGCATGGCCACTTCCTTTGGCATCCTTCTCCCCAGTTCCAAGTCTAAACAGTGAGAGAGAACTGCTTCCTTTTCTGCCCCTCCCCACCACATGCCCCGCTGGCATGGAGAACCCTGGCTCCACAAGCTGGAACTCCTTAGAAGGGTCCCCAGAGTGAGTCCCAGTTCAAAGGGGGCAGCAAAGGGGAGGAGAGCTGGTGCCAGCCCCTTGGGTCAGGGTTGGAGGGCGAAGCCAACCTTATCCCTTTGCCATGAGGCATTTGTCTGGAGATGCCCAGCTTGGGGCTTGAGCCCCTTATCTACTTGCTGGCGCTTTAGAATTCATTCACCCTGAAAGAAGGTAAGCATTCTCTGTGCCAGGGAGAGGCACCCAGAGCCAGGAACTATTAGGGCCACCCTGTTATCCCAGGTCTGTGGGACAGTCCAGGCAGCAGGAGGGCCAGAGGCCTGGGTAAGGACCCTGGGGAGAGCAGCTGGTTCTCCCTGAACAATGAGGCAGGTGAGGGCAGGTGGGAGCAGGTGAGGCTGTCTTCCGACAAGCGCGGGCTCCACTGTCTCATGGCATCGGGAAAGCCACTTAAACCCTCTAAGTTCTCTCACTTACAAAGTGAGAACAATCAGTGAGCCTCCTCAGTAGTTGAGAGGAATAAAGGGAACAGTGCACAGAAAGTGCTCGGCAGGGGAGGGGCCAAGGAACGCGCACTTAGCCTGGGAGACACCAGCAACCACGCACCCTCTCACACTGCCCCCTCCTTCCGTTCACAGCCGGGAGTACTACGTCAACGACCCCCCTCGGATAGTCCTGGACAAGCTGGAACGCAGGGGCTTCCGTGTGCTGAGCATGACCGGCGTGGGCCAGACGCTGGTGTGGTGCCTGCACAAGGAGTAACTCAAGCTGAGGAGTGCACAGGGCACCCCTTCTTTGGTTGCCAGGGGCCCCAATCCCAACCCCCACCTCACTCACGGCCCTGCCTCTCTCTTCACAAATCGTCAGTGTTCCTGGCCCCAGCATCACTGAGCAGTGAATGGCCTTCTTTGAAACCTGCCTCAGCAGGGGGCAGGGAGAGCACACCCCTTGCCCTGGTGCTCCCTGCAGCCCCTCCACCTTCTGGCCTGACCTGAGGGCCCTGGAGGGTGGGCTGAGGGGCTGGTGAGAGCCAGGCTGTCCTTGGCCAGGAGCAATGGCCCCAGGACTATGTAGCTAGTTCAAGCCAATAAAGGGTCACGATAAGTGCTGATCCTAAGCTCTGTACGTGCAGGGACTCTCACCAAATGCAGTGCCTTCCTGAATGTCTGTCTACCGCTGGGGAAGGAGCGCCAGCCTGGGCAGAGCCTGAGGCAGAGCCCAGCAACCAGGGCCACAGTTGGACAGGCCAGCACCCTGCACCCCTATGTAAGCAATGGAGGCAGGCTTAAAAAAAAAAAGTTTATTGGCGAGGGTTAAGAAAACGGTTTGGGGTGGCAGGACTGGAGCTACGTGGGCTGCCCCACCTTGTCCTCCCGCTGCATTTGGGCAATCAGCTGCTGCCGCTCAGCTGCTTGGCGCATGCGCATCATGACGAGGCTTTCGTAGTCCCTCTCGGACACCACTGAGCCCTGGGAGACAGAGGAGGGACAGGGAGGGGTCAGAGGACAGAGCCTCAGCAGAGCTACAGTCAAGAGTTGAGGAAGATCAATGCCCAGGAAGGGGAGGAGCCTGGAGCAGCCTGCAATCCCAGTCCATCTCTGTTTCTTCCAAGCCTTTGGCCTCCAGGCGGGCTCCTCAACCCGCGTCCACCAGTGACCACCCCCACTGTCCCCCTCAGGCCTTTCTTGTCTGCAGTCAGCTCTGGTTCGTCTTTCCCAGGTCATCCGCTTCCTCATGCTCTAGCCAGGCCCGCATCCCCCTTCGCATCCTCTCAGCCCTCTGCCCCACTGCTCTGCTGCTCACAGGCTGCCAGCGAGGGGACATTGTCAGAGGTTGGGAAGCCCACTCCGCTGCCCGGCAGAGGTGGCAGCACTGCTCCGTCGCAGCCGCCCATGCTCCTGTGGTCTGGCTCCTGCTGAGGACGCAGAAGGAAGCCCTACCCCAGACAGTCTCAACCGGCCCCACCCTGAGAGAGAAACAAGCAGAAGGCTGGCTTGCCTCCTAAAAATACACACCAGGGTTCCTGGAGGGTAGGGCTGTAGCTTTTTCTTTTATGATCTTGCCAGCAGAGGGCAGGGGATTAAAGACTGCTGCATTTTAATAATCAAAAGAATAATAAACAACCACCTCAATGGGCCTAGGCTGAGGGGTGGAGAGGCAGCTGTACAGTGCCATGAGCCCTGAGTGGCCAACCCCACGCCCTGATAAAGTCTGCAGTGGGAATGAAATCACTTCCTCCCCTGAGGCAGCTGGAACTGTGGGTAGTGGGGCACAGAAGCGAGCCAGACTGGGGCTGCAGAGCAGGCAAAGGTGGGGAGCCCTGTCCTGTGGCATGCCGAACTGGTGCACTCTCATGGAGTAAGTCAGGAGGAAATGGTGGTGGTCAGTGACCCAGAGAATAAGAAGGGAGTGGCTGGGGTCAAGGTGCCAGGCCCTGGCCAACTGGTTTGGAGGAAGAGGTGTACAGAGCCAGGAAGTGTTATTCAGCCCCAATCCCCCTGCTCCTCCCAACCGCCCCGCCCTGCTCCTCTCTCGTGGGCCATAGAGCTCCGAGGAGACCCACCCCCACCAAGCCAGGCCAGAGCGCTGACCATCCAAGGCAGTCCGTGTGGCTCAGCCCCCTCCACAGAGGAGGGGCCTCAAGTGAGGCCAGGGCAGCCCACAGGGAAGGACGAGCTCGGGGTAGGAGGCAGCAGGACCCTGTCCCTCAGCTGCTCTCCCCTGCCCTGAGGCCATCGGGTAAATGCAGAAGAATGAGGACGGAATGAGGTCCTGAACCCAGGGCTGGGTACAGCAGCCAGATGGAGTGCCAGGCCAAGGGGAGGGCAATCCTCCTCCCCGCAAGGGAATACTGCTCTGCTGAGAAAACCCAGAGTCACCCTGGCAAACCCTGAGCCCAGGCCTGGAAAGAGCTGGCCCTTTACTGGCATGGGGCTGCTCCCTGTTAACACACCCTCTGCCTCCTTCCCCCCATACCTGTGGGCTCTGCTAATGAAGGCCTGTCACCAGGCCCCAGGGCTGAGTCACCCACACCAGCAACAGGTCTCTTCCTTCCCTAACAATCGTTCCACACGCCTGCCTTTCAATTAACTGCCACCCTCCCTGAACTCCTCCCTCCCAGACACACTGGGGGCTGGGCCACCTGCTAGGGCCCCCGGTGGTGGGGCAAAAGGAGACAGTGTGGTGACATAGAAAGCAGGGCTGGCCCCTGACCAGCCCCCAGAGGAATCTTAAGCTCCCTGGTGGCCCTGGGGTGTTGGCCACGGCTGCTCCAACCCCTGCATGCGGATGCTGCAATCACCTCAGAGCATGAAACCCCGGCTTCCCACCTGACTGAGTCAGCTGAGAACAACACACCTCCACGCCACACACCAGCACAACCAGCCGGGCACTGATCGCAGGCAGGGCGCCTCGGCGGAGAGGAGAGCCAGGAGCCAGGGAGTGAGGGAAGGAGCACAAGCCGCTCCTGCCGGCCTGAGAAGACCCGTCTCTGACACCCCTGGAGCCACTCTCACTCTGGCTCCAGTAAGGGCTGCTGCTTCGCCTTGGGTTTTTCCACTGCCCTATCAGGTAACCGGGCCGCTCCTGTCCCTCCAGGAAACTCTGGACACCAGGAACTCACAGCACTCTGTTCTACTCTTCCTGGGACCTGGTCTCACCGCCCAGGATGCTGGCCTGAGGTCTGTGCTGGGTGGAAAGCGGGCAACCTCTGTGGAAAGCCCCGGGGGTCTGTCTCCCGCTCCTTGCCCTTCACTGCTCTGCAGGGACCGGATGCTCCCTGCCACTCTTGAAGTGGACTTCTAAGGTCTGCTGGCAACCTAGGTCCATGGAGACCTGGCGAAAAGGCTCCTTCCGCAATGCCTCCTTCTTCAAGCGGCTGAGCCTGGGCCGGCCTCGGCGACTCCGGCGGCAGGGCAGCGTGCTGAGCCAGGCCAGCATGGCCGGCGGGGACCACGAGGAGTACAGCAACAGAGAGGTCGTCCGGGAGCTTCGAGGGAGGCCGGATGGCCGGCGCCTGCCTTTGTGGGGGGACGAGCAGCCTCGGGCCACACTTCTGGCCCCTCCCAAGCCCCCGCGCCTCTACCGGGAGAGCTCCAGCTGCCCCAACATCCTGGAGCCTTCACCTGCCTACACCGCGGCCTACTCAGTGACCCTGCCCTCTGCACGCTCCCTGGCGGGCCCCCTCCACGAATACTCCCAGGAGGACCTTGTGGATACGCCCCCTTTCCAGAGGACACCTGCTCCGGACCTTAATGACCCCTTCTTCTCCTTCAAAGTGGACCTGGGGATTTCACTTCTTGAGGAAGTTCTACAGATGCTGCGGGAGCAATTTCCCAGTGAGCCCAGCTTCTGAACGGGGTGAGGGTGGGCAGAAGTGTGGCAACTGAAGAGCTGAAAGCGTGGGGACCCAGGAAAGGAAGGTACATTCGTGGATTGAGAAAAAGGTGGGGACGGGAATCCAGGGCCCTGCCCACCTGGAGTCCTCAACAGTCCTCCAGGTCACCCTGGACTGGAGGGCAGGAGGCAGAGAGCTAAGCTGGACATGCTGTGAGCCCTGAAGGGCGCTCACTGGGCTGGCAAAGGGAGGCCATGCCTGCAAGTCCAGGGACCAGGCAGAGGCCAGCAGAGGGGGCGGGAGGCACAAGGGGTGAGTCAGAGAATGGAGGACACACAGACTGGACGGAGCAGATGGGTGATGCCCTGCCCCAGCCTCCTCTGAAGCTACTGTCAACAGAGAGAGGTCACAGGACAGGTCTAGGCTAAGTGGTCCAAATCAGGCCTAAGAGCGAAGCGGGGAGATCTGAGGAGAGAGGGATGGGACAGTCTTGACTTTGGCCAATGTGGTAGCCACTAGCTACATGCAGCTGTTTACATTTAAATAATTGAAACTAAGTAAAATTTAAAAAATTAGTTCCTCAGCTGCACTAGCTGCATTTCAAATGCTCAATAGCCACCCCTGACCAAGGGCTACCACACTGGGCCACAGAGGGTGAACACCGACGTCGCTGGAAGGAGCTGCACCAGACAGCGCCAGCCTGGGGCACGGCCGTGGCCAGCAGGAAGGGCAGGTGAGGGAGGTGGGAGCACGGAGGCCTACAGCGGAAAGGAGGGGCTGGCAGCAGGGAGAGCGAGGCACGTGCAGATAGACTATCACTTAGGAAAAAGGCCACACAAACCATTCGCAGGGAAGGCGCAGGAGAGACTCCGGCTGCCGACATAGCGGCCTGGAGTGGCCCGGGGCCTGAGGAAGGTGGCCCCAGGGACTGCCGGTGGAAGGCACCGACACAGCTGTAATGGGCTGCTTTGGGGAGTTCCCAGAGTTATTGCTGAAGGGAGCCCTTGGGAAATGCAGCAAGAACAGTGGCAGCTTTCCCTCCGTCCTGCTTCCTGACAAGAATGCAGGAGGACTAGACACGAAACTCATGGCTGTTACCATGAAGAGGCAGAGCTGGTCTCCAGAACCTTCCACCAGGACCGGAGAGCTCTGCCCCGCCTAAACCCTCTGCAGATGGGGGCCTGCCACCCAGGGCTGACCCCCTGGGTCAAGGCCACATGCTGTGCTACTGCCCCACACGGTGGCTTGGCCAGAAGACTTGAAACCAGAGCTCAGGTTGGTGGGACCAGGCGGTTCTGAGATTCCAGGCATGGCAGCGGGGAGCAGGAACCCTTGATGCAGGCTGCCTCCACAACCCCCGCCTGTGGCCTCCACCTCCCCGTCTCCTATGTGGGTGTGCCCAGAGGAAAGGCTCCACTCTGGATGCAGGAGCTAATAAAGAAAGTTCTCTGTGACTGCCTATGGAATGTCGTCTGGGGCCGTAAAATGCAGGGACTTCGTGGTGAGGGGATGAACTCTCTAGGGAAGGATCTCGAGCTGGGCTCAGGCCAGGTCCTTTTCTTCCTCTGTCCAGCGTCTGGAACAGACCCCCAGAAAGCTTCCCACTCTCACATCCAGGGGAGGGGCAAGTGGGAAGGCAGGGGTGCGGTGACTGAGAGCAAAGGCCTTGCCGACCCACCAAGGGGCACTCTCCCCCAGAGCACGTCATGAATGCATCCGTCTGAGGCTCCCACACAGACCTGTGGGCCATTTCGGAGAAGGGAGAGCTCTTGGCCTAGAAGCTCTCTGTCCCACCAGAGTGGGGCAGGTGTGACTAGGGCCAGCATGTGTGCGTGTGTGTGTGTGTGTGTGTGGGTGGGGGGAGGGCAGGCTGCTGAACAACAGCCCTCACGCAGCTGTGGGGACAGACAGCTAGTGCTGAGGTGCAGCAGCAGAAGCCTCTGCTTCGCCGTGAGTCAGGTGCCCAGGCTGCAAGCGCTCTGCTGTCAGCAGGGAGGCTAGTGTTACTCCTAAGGAGGGAGCAGTGCCTCTGCTCAGTAGGTCCTGTCCCTACTGAGCCACACGGTGGCTCTGTCCCGGCAGCCACAGACACACCTGGAAAATGAGTCGGGGACAGAAGCGGCCGCTCTCGTCCCCTGCCCCTTCCCCACGGCACCGGGTTGTCTCGGTGCCAAATGCTTCACACTAAAACCAAGCAGCCTGAGGGCCAGAATCCCTGTGGTTGCTGACGAAGGTCCCCAACAGGCGACCGGGATGTGGGAAGAGGTCTGAGAACTGTGTGTGGTGGGGCCTACTGGCCTTCGCAGAGGAAAGGGTCGGCACAGAATCATGGTCCTCCTGCTCTGGTTGGCAGATCTGCCACCCTGACTCCATCAGGATGACCTGGATTTGTGAGGGAAGAGCCCAAACAGGAAACGGCCCCCCGAATCCTGAGCGGGCCCACCTGTGTGAGGCCTGGTTCCTTACCTGTGCCAGTCCTGGGTGGTGGGGGCTGTCCCTGCCCTGGGGCCGTCCCTCCAACCAGGAAATCTTCAGAGGGTTATCGACCAGACCCACTTCATTCTGCACAGCCAGCTCCTGCCAAACACAGCATCCAGTTAGTCCCACCACTCCGATCAGCTAGGGAGGGGCTCTCTCTAATCCCACAGAAAGTACCAGAACCAGCAATCTCATCCTCCAAACAAAGCTAAACAACTTTTCCTTTGATGTACTGAAGCTCTGACCCTCCTCGTGGGCGAGAGGGTGTGTAAGCATTCTGACTGGGTAGGTGGATGAGGGGGAAAGGCAGGTGGGGCCACAGCCTGAAGGTCTCCAAGGGTAGAGCGGAGGGTGTGAAGCCAGGCAGCAGGAAATGGAGTCAGTCTGTGCTCTCCATTATCCTGGAGCACTTTCCAACCCATTCCTGGGCTCTGAGCTGGCCCAGAGGTTCTCTGAGAGTGTGGGTACCTATGCTCAGGGAACCCACAGACCTGAGTCCCTGCCCTGGAACGGCAGGGCTGGCTGTGGCTCCCCCAGAGCCTCACACAGCACTCACCGCAGCCTTCACGGTTGCAAACTCCACCACGGCGGTGCCTGCCTTCTTTCTGGAAAGCACGAGGTTGAGCACCTCTCCATACTGTGGGGACAAGGGAGGCCCAGCTCACACCAGAGACAAGCTGCCACGGCCCCGAGGCCCATCGGGGTGTGCTTAGCTGGGGGACTACTTCTTGTGGCCAGGTTTCCAGAGGAGACCACAGATGGAAAGGGAAGCAGATTTTTTCCAGGAATGCAGAAGAAAAGCAAAGGAGAGTTGGGCAAAGGACTGGGACTTGGACTGGCAGAGTTGCAAGGCTGCCTCAGTGACCAAAGACGGTGAAGAGGACAGGGCTTTTGCGCCAGATGCCCACCTCCTCTCGCCCCACACACTCAGCGAAGGCCTCTGCTTCTAAGGACGGCAGGGGCAGAAGTGGGCAGCACAGGTGAGACAGGCTGGGGGGCGGGCCCGGCAACACAAGCAAGAGGAGGGCCGGGGCCTGGGGGAAAGCTAGACCATCCTGTGGTCTATGAACAGACACAAGGGCAGGTAGAGGTGTTGCGGCAGGTGAGGCACGGAGACCCTGGGTCCACACCGAGGCGATGGGAAGGAGGGGAGTTGGCAGGGCAGACCTTCTGAAAAAGCCGCAGGAGGACATCTCTGGGGTAGCCACCGTCTGACCCATCCTCCTTGCACTTCCACTTGAGCTGGAAAGACAGCAGAGGGCGTCACCACAGACTTCCAACCTCTGCCTGAACAGCACCAGACCCCGCACTGGGCTTTACAGCCTGAACAGAGTCCGTCCACTAGTAACCCAGGAAGCACCCCTCAAAAATGTGTTCCCCTTAAAAGCGGACAAGCAGGGCGGCCTGCTCACCCGCAGACACATCTCCAGTCCTGTCAGGTGTTCTCCTGGAGGGCTCCTGGGGGGTGCCACCTGCGAGTCAGGGCTAAGGGCGGCCCCCGTGGCGAGCTCTGAGGGGCCCTCCTGATCCCCAGGTGCAGGAGACGGAAGGGTGTGGGAGGTGGTGCAGGCTCCCAGAGATCCAATGGCCCCACCAAGGCCCACCAGAACCCCTTGAGCCACAGGGAGTATGTGTTCTTGCTGAGTCACGGGTCCCCACGGGGCTCACCTTTAGCTTAGGAGTTTCTTTGCTTTCAGGATCTTCTGCCTTTCCTAGGAAATTTGAGGAAGTCAGTAAGGTCGAATGTGAAGAGAGCTAAAAGGAGACACAGCCCAGGGCCAGAAGGACCTAGAAAAGGTCACTCCTGACCAAGGGTAGTATCTGCCCGCTGATGAGGAGCCTGGTGGCGAAGGTAGGGGCAATTCCACCGCCATCCCCAGGAGCTGCCGCCCAGGGGCAGGCTGCCCAGCTGCCTGCTGAAGGGCACAGTTAGCACTCCGTCAGCGCGGGGCTGTGAGCGCCTCTGGGGGCAGGACGCAGAGGCACAGGCCATGCCACTCTATTAAGACAAAGTATCCCAGACTCTTTCTCCTGGTGACCTGCTCCAAATACAGCCAGCCTTGCTTGTGACTAAGACATACCAGCCCAGGAGATCTAGGTCAGAATGAAAAGCAAATAGGCCCCAGAGAGTTGGTAGGAGGGAGGGACAGGTGGCATGCATCCGAGTGGAGTGGCACCAGGGTTCCAGCAGGCGGAAGTCTCTATAGCGACTCAACAGAGAGCTACCTCAGAGTGGGCGGCGGGTGGAGGTGAGGGACTCTCACCTCTCAACCTCTGCTCCCGTTCCTGGCGAATCTGTTCCTGGATCAGCCTCTGCTGTTCCTCCAGCTGCCGGGAACCCTCCTCTCGCAGGCGTTCGATCTGCAGAGCAGGGGGTTGAAGGGTGACAATTCTGTGCAGATCCAATTCCAGGTTGGCTCCCCTTGTAAAGGTCCCTGGGAGGTTCCACCTGTAAACTAGGGCTCAGCAACCTGCAGGTGGGACAGATTACCCAGATCCCACAGAAGAAGGTGGGAAGGGTATGGCCGCCCCAGCCACCACAGCCACCTAAGTCCACCCTCCTCCACCTCCTGCAGATGGCCCCAGGCCCACATGCCCAGAAGCTCACCTCCTGCTCTAGTGTCCTGGTGCTCCGGCTCTCCTCCTCCTCCTCACTGCCCTGGGCCTGAGCCTGCCGCTCCCGGGCCTCCAGGTCTAGGCACAAGGGTTGAATGTCCCAGTGGCTGGTCTAAGCAGTTTCCACGTGGGCTCACACCCCCAGCCCTGGCTGCTTCCCCAGTCTCACACGGGATGGAACCATGAAGTAACTCTGCCCCTCCCTCCATGCTCATGTGCCTTCACACTAATGTCCATTATGAAAAAGTCAGAGCACAGAGAAGTGCAGGCTCCAGCTGAGTGGCCAGGGTCTGGAAGAGTTAAATCAGCTCACACTGACCAAGCAGGTTCTCTGCTCAGGGAACAGGGTGTGGGTGGGGCTCATGTCAGCAACCCGGGCCGTGCGTGGGGACAGCAGGAGTGGGCCTGCGGGCCTCTGCTCCTTGGTCTGGCCACAGCCTGACCTGCGACGTGGTGTGGCTTTGATGCGTTTTCCACCACTGAGCCACGCTGTCACTGCCTCCTTCACCTGCCCCTCAGCTCACATTTACCAAGCTTCCCTGCGAACCCGGCCACAGCAGCTCCTAAGGGGTGGCAGATTCTCTGTGAGGACAACACCCCCAGTCATGAAGCCCTTCCTGCCTTCCAGGGGCAACCTGCTGGCGGCCCTGCTCCAGGACAGCTGCTGTGACAAACCCTTCTCTCAGGCCTGGGACCCACTGCTCTCTTTTCTGTGCACTTTACTTTCCTACAATCTCCGGGATTTTTTGGTTTGTTTTTGGTACAGAGGTGGATGCCTGGAACGGTATATGTACATATTAAATACATGGATATCAAATAGGCAAGAAGATGGGGAGAAAATCGAGTGAAGAATGCCTGAACCAATCTTACTGGGGTGACGAAACTGATTTACAGCCATAGTTACAGCATGTGGTAAATTACTAGAAATCACTGAAGTGTACACTTGAATGAGTGGATATTTTAATATGAAGAATATAAAACTCAATAAAACTGTTTAAGAAGCAAAAGAATGCCTGGACCTCGTTGGATCCTTCTGAGGGGACTTCTCAAAATGAAAGTGCTGTGCTGAAATGTGGCTGGTGGGGCTCCGTGGGCTGGAGCGCTGTCCTGTAGACCAGAAGGTCGCAGGTTTGATTGCCAGTCAGGGCAGATACCCGGGTTGCTGGTTCAATCCTCTTTCGGGGCGTGTTTGAGAAGGCAACCAAGTCAAGGTTTCTCTTTCACATCGATGTTCCCCCCCTCGCCCCTGTTCTCAGGTGAGGATAAAAAAGGCAACGAGGCCGGGGCAAATACACAGACCCAGGATGGCATTGTGAATGAGAACACAGACCCACTCAGACTGTGTGGGTTAACGCTCAGCTCTAGCAAGTCCCCACCCTTGGTGCCGTAGCTTCTGCGTCCACAAAAAATGGGTTTAGTAATACCACCCTTGGAGCACTGTGACAATTAAAAGAGATAATAAAACATTTGTCACAGCGCGTAGCTAATAGTAAATCTAGCCGTTGTTATTATCCCTGAGAGTGTCCTTTAGGATCCAACCCTGAGAACAAGGTTCTTCTCAGAGCTGGGGCCAGAACGCTTCAAGCTGCTGCAACGGAATGAAGCTCTAAGAAGAAAGGTGAGGGAGCCGCATAAAAACAGCTCAGGGAGCCCTGACTGGTGTGGCTCAGTAGATTGAGTGCCGGCCTGCAAACCAAAGGGTCGCTGGTTCGATTCCCAGTCAGGGCACATGCCTGGGTTGTGGGCCAGGTCCCCAGTGGGAGCCTGCAACAGGCGACCACGCATTCATGTTTCTCTGCTTCTCTTTCTCCCTCCCTTCCCCTCTATCTAAAAATAAATAAATAAAATCTTTTAAAAAAAATGGCCCAGGGAAACCACAGGCCACCCAGCACGGTGATATCACCTACCAAGCTTTACTTTCTTCCTTTGCTCATCTAGTTTCTGGGTCCTCTCTGCTGCCTGCTTCTTGGCTTTCCTGACCTTATCATACGCGGCCTGGCAGGAGGAAGGAACACAGGAGCAGTCAGCCAGGGAACAAGCATACGGCCCAGCCACCTTCCCGGCCCCGCCACCGAGCCCCAGAGCCACCGGGAGTGTCTCTAGGCTGGGGCGGCAAGGACTGTGCTTCACGGCAGAAGGCAGAGGACCGAGGCTGGCATACCACGGTGATCTCTAACCACGGGGACAATTCAGGTAGAGGAGGACATGCTCACCCTGGCTGCAGCATCGGTCAGTACCTCCAAGGCCTGAGAAAGCTGGTGGAAGAGTTCAGCTAAACAAAAGGATAAAAAAACAGAGAGGAGAAAAATTAAGTTAGATTCGGTGACGGTGTACTCAGAAAAAGCACCTCCAAGAAGCCGCAGGCCAGCAAACAGCTGACATCAGCAGGTGACAGACCAGCAATGAAGGGTGAGTGCATCCTCAACCGACCGACACCCCTGACCCAGGAGCCGGAGCCGGAGCCGGAGCCGGAGCCGGGAGCCCAGCCGGGGCTCCAGCATTCCTCAGCACTCCCACAGGAGCGCGGGCGGCGAACCTGCCATGCCCAGGCGGCTGGCCTCCTTCCCCCCACACCTCAGAGAGTCTCACCTGCTCTGGGATTATCTGGATTTTTGTCGGGGTGGCAGGAGAGGGCCTTCTGCCTATATGCCTTTTTCACCTGGAAGAATCAGAAGACAAAGTCACTCACTTTCTCTCCCCCAGGATGAAGAGGAAAACCTTGCTAAAGTGACAAGGGAAATCAGAAAGTGTCCCCCATCCCTAAAAGAGAGGCTGTTGGCTTCTGCATGGAGGAAGTCACCTCCCAACCACCAAGGAGATTGGCAGTGGAGGAGGCAAAGGCAGCGGAGGGGCTGGGCCCAATTCCTGGCCCATCCGATCTCACGATCTCAGGCCAGGGTGTCAACAGGCTCCTGGCAGGGGCAGGCCCTCCACAGCCACCTGGGAACCCGCGCTCGCTCTCGGTAGGCATGTGAGCTGGGGCAACACTGGAGGAAAATTTTGCCATCGAAATTTAAAAGGTACTTTCCCTTTAACCCACTCCTACAAATTCAGACTTACAGAAGCGTGCCGACATAAACACACAAGCACGCCCCCTGCACCGCTGCTCACATCATTAGCCCCCACTGGAACCAGCCGGAACCTCCATCGACAGGGAGCTCCATTAAAATATTGTGATAGATGGAACCCGTATGTGCTGACTAGAAAGGTCTTCAAGTCATCACAAGGCAAAAGAACATTCTATAATTATGTGCAGTGACAAATGTTGACTAGACGGACTGTGCTGATCATTTCATGTTATATACAAATATCAAATCATTGTGTTATATCCCTAAAACTAAGGCAATGTGATATATCAATTATATCTCAATTTAAAAAAGAAAAGAAAAAAGAAGGATCTTCAAGGTATACTGTGTGTGTGGGGGGGAAGGCTTAGAACAGATACATAATGTGATCAGTCTGGGATTTAAAATAAACAAATAAGGCCCTGGCCAGGTGGCTCCGGAGCATCATCCAGACAGGCCCAGGTCACAGGCTGAGCCCCAGATGGGCGGGCGCGCACAGGAGCCGATCAGTGATGCGTCAGTGGGTGGGACAGCAGGTCGGTGCTGGCTTCTCTCTCCCCCCCTTCCCCTTTCTCTCTGAAAACTCAATTTTAAAAGGCCCATTCTTTAAAAATATATAAACAAACAAATTAGTGAAATCAAAATAGTTCCGATACTCTGGCATGTGCACAGCTTCTGTTTTTTGTTTTCCTCAAAGCAATCATAAGAAATGTAAAAGTGGCTTCCTCTGGAGAAAAGCTACGCATGGAGGGAGGGAAACATTTACATCTCATTTGAGGCCATTCTGCACTTCAAATTTTCAAACCTTGAACAAGCCTTACTTTACTATCATTTTTTGTTGTCAACAAAGGTTATTTTGGTGGGAGGTTATGGTCCATTTTTAGTTTTTAACTTTGTGTATCTGATTTGAAAAGCAACATTTCTTATTAGTAAAGATAAACAGCTACCAAGATTCCCTTTCGTAGTTTGTCCACTCGCTGGTTTAGAAGAAGGCAGAGCACAAAATCCCAGAATCTGTGCTCTGTTTCCTGAGGGCCTGGCGCTCACTTCTGCCTGCAAACCTTACCTGCTGCTCAACCCTCCCGGGAGGAGCCTCTGGACCAGAACTTCCACTTCTCAGAGGGAACCGATAGAGACTTCTATCCAATGTGTGCTAAATAAGGACATTTACAGGCAAGCTCCCAGCAGCCCCGGTGGGGACAGCCTGTAGGCAGGCGCCTCATTCCACTCCCACATCTACCTCCAAGAAAGGCAGGCAGCTGCTTAGAACTCAGGGATGTGCTGCCACCTGCTGGGCCACCGCCAGCACCATCCCTTCACCTGCCAAAGCCACCGGGCCCACACGCCTCTCTTTGCAGAGCAGGAGGCAGCAGGAAGCTCTCCCTTTGTTAGCCCCCAGGGGCTCTGAAATACTGTCATTCAAAGGGTAGAGGGCTCGGGCAGGTGGCCTGAGATCTTCCAAAGAGGCCGTGAACCAAAACCCAGCTGGCCTAAGAATGCTGGTCAGTGTGTCTGTCCTGATTAACTAGTTGTTACTATCTTTAGCTGTTAAGCCTGCTCTGGGCAGGGCCTTTCCTGGGTTTTAGCCTGGAAGGCCCGTTTTGACTTCGAACCAGTTGGCCTGGAGTTTGGTGTTTTGTGTTACAAACTGGACTCCCAGCTTTGCCCAGCCCTCCTGGGATGACTGCTGCCTGAAGAATTTCTCACCAAGTAAACACAACTCTCCTAAAGCAGGACTTGAAAAGCTCCCAGTGTCAATATTGTTTATTATGAAATAATCCTACCGCATGAGCAACTCAGAGGCTAGATTGTAGGGAAAGATGCAAAAATATTTTTCTTTTTTAAAAAGATTTTATTTATTTATTTACTTACTTACTTACTTATCAAGATTTTAATCATTTATTTTTAGAGAAAGGGAGGGAGAAAGAGAGGGAGAGAAACACTGATGTGTGGTTAGCTCTCATACGTCCCCAGCCGGGGACCTGGCCCACAAACCAGGCGTGTGCCCTGACTGGGAATCCAAACAGCGGCCCTTCGGTTCACAGCCTGGCGCTCAATCCACTGAGCCACACCAGCCAAGGCAACAATATTTTTCTTAACTATGATAAAGTTGGGAAAGAAGAGGAACTTTTAGAAGAACAAATAGAGGGGCCCGATATGGAATGATGAGCGAAAGACAGGACTGCTTATTCCAGGCATCGAGTTTGGCTGCTCCTCTATGAAAGTAGCCACAGAAGTTGCCAAAAACTACATCGTCTTAACACTTGCAGTTCCCTTCTCCACCTACAGGTTTCCCCTAAGTCCTCTGGTCTCCTTAACACTTGAAAACATTCATTTGCATTTCCTGAGACTTCAGAGAGGAGCTAGGTGACAGCTGAGAGACTTCCCACCCACTGCCTTCCTGCCCTACTGAATGAAAGGGGCAAACACGCATTACCTCTCTACCAAAACAATTGGAAAACCTCAACTATGTCAGTTAGTCCAGGCCCACTGAGGAGTGGAAGGAAGTGGGTGCTGTCCTGACGCTAGGAGCCCTCACCACTGTTGCACAATTTCACCCCTACCTAACACCTCCTCTTGAGAAATCAAGTCTGGAAAAGGGAAGAAATCACTATAGCAGACTGCCAGGAGAACCACGGTGGGAACTAAATGCCATCCCCCCACAGCCTACATCACAGAGAAGAGTGAGTCATGAATTAACAGCCACCCAGCCCTTCCTGGAGTTCTCATAACTGGTTCCACCACTCGCAGCAACCTGCGCCCCAGCAGGTCGCCTGCCATCTCCAAGGAGCTTTGCACCAGGCACAAAGCAGGGCCCTCCCAACCCACCTGCATCCAGCTTCACCTCTTGAGGGGAATGAACTCCTGACTTACCCCAAAAAGCAGGGCACTAAGGGGTCCAGTAAACATAATAGCCATAATTAACTTAAACCAAAGGCACTCTACAAAGAAGAGAACATAATTTTTTAAAAGACCTTTATCGTACTAAAACTTGGAGCCAAGTAAGTAAGTGATATAAAGTAATTAGGCCCCGTTCTCAAAAGCCAGGCTGCTAAATGGGACTCAGACGTGAAGACTCACTGGTAGGACTCAGAGGTGGAGGACACAGTGGGAGGCCACTCTGTGTGACAACAGGCACCGAATGAACAAACCACCCCAGTGAATCAGCTAGAAAGGCCGGGTTCCAGGAAAGGGAATAGTCCATAATCACCGCCTGGCAGTGATTTCTCTGCAAGCCCGTGGGAGGCAGACATTTCCCCAAGAACACCAGAGGTAAGTGGCTGCCTGATGTCACAGGCAGGAAGTAAAACACAGAGCTCTGGGCACTTACCTAGCAGCCTGCTCTGTGGACTAAAAGATTGGTCACTCTCCTTCCTTACAGCCTGTGGCCCACACTGTGACAGCACTACAGAGAAGCCCCTGAATGCCTAGTCACTACAGAAACTAGGGACTGCTCCTACAGCTCAGCGCGAGCAGGGTACCAGCCCACCCCCAGACCAGCAGCCTCAGCTCAAACCTCCAAAATATGGGCCTGTTGGTGGTACCAAGATGATTTGGGGGCCCCAGACCTAACATTTCTCTCAGGCTGCTAACCATGTGCATGGGTCAAACTCAGGGTAGTGAGCTATGTAGCCTGAACCGACCAGGACCATGTATAGGGCCTGGCCTGCTTTGCCCCAAATGTGGCCCCTCTGCACCCTTTAGGATCTGGGTCCTCAGCCCATCTCTGAGGTCACTCTTCATTTCCTCCCATACCTTGTACCTCGTACCTCGGGCTCTCCCCTCTGGGTTCCCTCCTCCCTTTAGCCCTTCAGGCATTCTCTCCTGGGACTCAGCCTCTGCCCTGCCCTCCTTCTCAGTCCATTTCCCAAATCAGCAACTCACCTGGAGCCCAGTCTACATCCTCCTCTTCCCCCTTCCCTCCTCTTCCTCCTCAGACCCTGCCTCTACCCTCCCATGCTAACCCTGAGTATCCCTATCAGGCTCAGTATCAGGCTCAGATTCCGAGATCCTTGCCCGCCTTCTCATCTCAGGCTAGAGACTCCCACCCCCCAGGCCTGTCAGGTACCCCGAATCTGGCTGCCCCTTCCCTCGCCCCACTGCCTGCTGTCACCCTCAACTCCCAGAGACCTGAGTCCCCAGCCCCAAAGCCACCCTCTCCGCCCTCTCCCAGGGTGTGGAACTCCTTCCCTCTGGGCCCTAGTGCTTCCTGCATCTCATTTCTTTTTTCCTTAATGTACTGATTTCTTTTATAAACAGATTTATATTAGTAAAAAGAAGTGAGCCACTATAAAGAAAAATATCAACTAAATAACAGTACTCAGGAACAACAAAAATAAGGAAGCAGCTATGGAAATGGAGAATATTTTGAATACGACCTCAGTTGACATGGAAATTCTGCTGCAGTAACTTTAACTCAAATTTTGACACACTTCCTCAAACCTTCCAGGTCAGCTTAATACCTGTCGGGTTCACCAAGTCGGGCAGCTTTACTCAGTCAAATCTCTGTGTCATAACTGGAGGCCAAAGGCTCTGTGGGGCCCAGAGACCGGTATCGCATTGCCCTTGCTGCTCCTGAGTACGGGCCATGGAA